TAGATACTATTCGGAAATGGCATCGTTTAGGAGGATTTGGTTCTTGGTTGTTCCAAAGATGATACTGCGTTAGTCCATAGAATGAGAGTCTGAAATTGTAATTAGTTAAAAAGTTACACCCTGAGCTCGACTGCACGTTCGCTTGTTGTTAGGAGCGCCACCATACCGGAAAGTCTACTCAACCATATTTAGCGTCGATGTACTGAGAGTTGGTTCCCTGTCGAGTATGATCTGTTCAGCCTGTAATGAAGATAAGCAACCAGCAAGACGCGTTACAGCAGCCAAATCAGCTAAACGTTAAACACGAGACGAATTAAGCCACGAATTTCATTTTCATGCAAATGCGGCGAGATTGTTGCAGGTTGTTCGCGTATTGCCATGTCGGAATTAAGGAGATAAGAGTTTCAGAGTAAAGTATGTTAACGCAGTCCACTGAACCAGTATGGACAAACAAGCAAGTTGTGCCCACTCAGACTTGGCCAATGCCGCAAACCGCCAGAAAGGGTACAAAAAACTCAATCTAATTAACTATTTCGTTTTAACAACTCTTAATTATCAATTGAAACAGAATAATATAATAATATATATATACAGCTACAAGCTTAAAATGTCAATTATTTTTCCATTATCAACATGACAGACCAGTCTCACAGGACGCGACAATGTCCTGACGACATGCAGCAGACCCCTCGGCGACTGCGATCACCCTGCGCAGATAATTAACCAGTGTATCAGTAGATCTGCATTAAAAAAATTATACACGTAAATCATCCATATAAAAACACACCTTCACCACGATGGACCCCACCAAACATATCCCATAAACATTCCTTAAAGCGCCAAAAGAGACTTCCATAGTTTTGTATAAAATTTAAAAGCCAATACCGCGGACTCAAGTCGCCACATTGGATTGCGTCGGCTTCGTGGACGCGGCATGCGCAGTTTGCATAACATCAAAGACAGTCGAGCACCGAACCATCTCGACTGGGCAGACCCTCGGCCCGCCACCACCGATTGCCACATTTACCGGAGAACACAACAAAAAACATATCCAACACGCAAAACTGAACCACACTATAAACCTGTGATGCAAAGTCAATACATATTCAACAAAGAGAGAAAATAGACACAATGGACTACAACACATCACCTCCACCCCGTTATAGTGCATGCATGCACTAGACTACCAGTACTATTATCCTTGTATATTTAGCCAACTGTACAACCTATTTATACATCTTTATATACTTCTAATTAACAAGGAAAGACGGCAGTTGTTTACTTAGCCCTTATTGAAGCTCCCTGAGTTTGAGAATTAGTTTTATTGTAATTAGTATTGGCATATTGAAAATTATCTAGTGCTGTGTGTTCCTTCTTTCCTACTGTTCTAATAACAGTGATTGACACCACATGCCATGTCTGAAATTTCACACAGGTGCACCCCCTCTCCTGGAGTTACGGTCACTCACATTTTCCTGCTCAAATCTTCCTCTTAAATGGGCGTACGCCTGGAGGGACCTAACGGCAGGCCGGTAGCGACATGTGACTGGGCCGCTGATAACAATGCTCTGGGCGGGGGGCTGCTGACCGTCAGGTCTATCTTCAGACGTCAGGTCTTGCTGCGCGCATTGTTGGCGCCCGATTCAAAATGCAACTGTCTTATACAGGTCGCAGCAGATGGCGCCTCACAGAACGGTTATAGGCAGAAGTTTAACTTTAACGCATTGCACTACTCAGGGTTTAATCCGAGCCCACGGGATTCCAGGGAAAATCTGATCAAAACTATTCCCGATTCCCGGAACTGTTCTGAAGGGAAACCGGGAAATTAAAGTTAAAAAAAAAATCATGTTGCGCTCAAATTATCAGAGCCAGTTTAATGTAGTTCACGTTGACATATTTTTCTTTTACAATCAACAAGTCTACCGCTGAGAGGAAGGGCTCATAAATTTTAGAAATTAGACCAAAAATGGTGACATACTGCGCTAAACCACGACTTGTAATGAGGCCCGCTCAGGGTACGGGGCACATGAGAGCCCAGAATTTGGTACTTTTCAATTCTTTCAGAAAGCACCTTCTTTTTTTTCCATCTGTAAAGGCAGCAACAGGTCAGGGCTAACATTACTTATAACACAATTTACGATACACACTGATTTAGGGTAATGTACAGCTTTCCAGTGACGATAGGCATGAATATACCCCCACCCCACTCCACCCAACCACACACAATCCGAGAGAGGAAGCGAGCAAGGGTAAGAAGGTTGATATTCGAAATTGGATGGGCCAGAGTATGGGGATTTCGATGATCCACTTCTGTATTAAAACTTAATTCGCTGAACCATAATAATACCTTTTATCTCACAATCCTCTCATATAGACAAATTCCACACCTTTAGAATATCTATCTAAATATACTATCGTATATCTAATGTTACAAAGTTCATATCTTAAAACTAATATATTATATTAAAATGTTCAAACTCTTCTAAATGTTAAATCTAAATGTTAAATATAAATGTTAAATTAAATGTTATATCTATATCTAAATGTTATATCTATATCAAACTGTTATATCTATATCTTAAAAAATTATAATCTAATTTAAATTGTTAATTTTATATCTAAATTTATCTCTTATCTAAAAGTTATATATATATCTAAATGTTAAAACTAAAATGATAAAACTAAATGTAAATTCTAAAATGTTCAACTCTTAACATGTTTAAATTTAAAAGTGTCGCCAAGTGTAAAGCTACATATATAGAAAACCACCGCCACTGCAGTGGCTTCAAATCCAGTGGGGGCCCGCTTCCGTGCCGAGTTTGTATGTGGTGAGGTTGGGGGCGGTCGCGTGTTATGAAACATAGGAATACACGTTGGACCCGACGTCCGGTCTCAAGGAAGTATGGTCTACCAGCCCCCCGACTTGGCCCCGGCCACAAAAACATGAATTTTGTGAAGAATCTGCTTCTTTGCAGGGCTCCAGAGTGTATTCCAGATACATAAGCCCCGTTGAAAGTCCCCGTGGAATCTGTGTAATCCTGTAGGGTTTCACCCCCCAGGACGGAGTCGGGCCCATGGAATTTGAAGCATTGCAGTGGGGTGGTCTTCTATATATTTAGCTTTACACATGGGCTAGCACCTTTAGCATCAGTCTGTCTCTATCCCAGAGAGAAGTGTTGGCATCTTTAAACTATGTAAGACAGTTTTGCAAGTAACTAAGTAATCTGATCGAGGAATATAGTCAAAAGTATATTTAAATTTTAAAAGTAACGTTTTACACAATTTAGTTACTTACTAAAAAGAAGTGCTAATCACAATAGCTAATTACTTGAGTTGCACCCAATACTGGCCTGCATCTTGGAGAAATGACCACAAGAATATCCATGTTTGTAATACCTTTATTAGCAATTTCTCGTTTGATAAAGGCGTGACATTGTGGTAGATTCCCAGTGAAAAATCTTATGACGAATGGTGACGGACATATGGACAAAAATTAGCTTCTCCTGCTATCTCATATACTGAACACACACATACACACACACACACATGCGCGCACAGTAAATGCAATGTGTTCACGCTTGTCTTTTATGTAGAGCACAGCCTTGGATGTGATAATTTAATGTCCCTTCCTGACGGAGACTGACAGCTTTTGCAGAGCACTCCCCATCCATCTGGGCCTCGAAGCACAATGCACAAATCACATCTAAGTGTATCAGGTCGAACAGCGTGATGAAGGCTTTATGTGACAAATGGAAGTGGCTCTGTCTCTCTGCGAGCTGGGCCGCAAGGAGCTCTGTAACGGACGTAAATTGAGCTGATGCGCTCTATGTTATGTGCAGATTTCCAGGGGGGAGAGAGGTGTAACAAGATTCATATTTTCTCAAGTCATGTCTCCTCTGAAAAACTGTTGTTGTGTTGAGGTCATAAGCGGTCATGAAGACATCACGGTGCAGAAACTAAATAGGAATTGCACTTTGTTGCTGAAAAGAGGCACTCGTTGACGTTGCATCTCCTGGCTTGAAGAATAAAGACAAAAACTGCCTATTTGCTAATTGCTAATCAATAATCATAAATCCTAAACTTTTCACTCTGAGCCATGAAAATATTTAAGTCTCAAGGTATATCTAAAGTACAAGTATCTCCTGAAGGGACCAGAGAGTCCCCCATATGAATTTCATAATTAACTAACCAGCCAGCACTGATGGTCAACAGAAGGAGCCATTCATATAATTCATTTGATTATAAAAATTACAAAATTGCGTGTGTGTGTGTGTGTGTGTGTGTGTGTGCGTGCGTGTGTGTGTATATATTTTTTCCTGTTACTTACGTGGCAATAAAAATGATTCTGATTCTGATATTTGTCTTATTTAGTCACATCCTTACTTCCTTCAACAGCTGACTGTTTACCATGCCACTTGATAAATCCACTTGTCAAAACATTAAACAGGGCTGTACATTTCCTTCTTCTGATTTCATTAATTAACTATAGTAGAGTGTTTGTGATCAGTTCAACACTTTTCCAAACCTTGTGCACTTTTAACATCTCAATCACAGAGTGGAGATCAGGTTCAATTACACAAGCAATAACTTTTAGGCCTCCACAGGCCTAGAAGCCATTTATATGCTAATAAGTATGACAGCAGTAATGAGTTGCAATAAAAAGGCATCTGCTTCTTGATCAAAGCTGATATTAGAGTATTACCACCATCGGCCTCTACTATTTGTCCTGAAAGAACTTGTTCATAACACTTGTTAAAAGTGTTCAGACATCTACAATTCAAGAAGAAATATCCCTTCTCCTCACATTAATCATCTACAGTTCAACAAAGAAAAGTATTTGAGCTGGACCGAATCCCTTTCCGCACTTCTCCTAAACACTGTGAGATGTTGGTTTTACGTTGCAAAAAAAATCAGATACTCCACTTTGGAGTGGTAAGTAATCTGTCAAGGAACCGGCTCACTACAGACCAGTCGCACTGACCTCCCACCTGATGAAGACCATGGAGCGGCTCATCCTCACCCATCTCCGCTCCGAGGTCAGCCCCACCCTGGACCCGCTGCAGTTCGCCTACAGGCCCAACATCGGAGTAGAGGTCGCCATCATCTACTTCCTGCAGCAGACGCTCTCCCACCTGGAGCCCGCAGGGAGCGCTGTGAGGGTCATGTTTTTTCAGTGCTTTCAATACCATCAGGCCGGCACTGCTGCAGGGGAAGATGGTGGATGCGGGAATGGACAGTAGCCTCACTGCATGGACCATCAACTACCTCTGAGATCGACCACAGTACGTGCGGCTGCGCAGCGGTGAGTCTGAGGTGGTAGTCTGCAGCACTGGGGCCCCTCAGGGCACTGTCCTCTCACCGTTTCTCTTCACCATCTACACCTCAGACTTCACACACAACACACAGCTGTCCCCTGCAGAAGTTCTCCGACGGGAGTCGTCGGGTAGCACAGAGCGGGACAGAAGCAGACTGAACAAGCTGGTCAGGAGGGCCAGCTTCACTCTGGGCTGTTCCCTAGAGGAGGTGAGGGACAGGAGGGTGCTAGTCAAAGCCACATCCATCATGAACAACACCTCCCACCCACTGCACAGGACTGTAGAGGAGCTGAGAAGCTCCTTCAGTGGAAGACTGAGGCACCCTCAGTGTAGGAAGGAGCGCTACCGCAGGACCTTTATCCCCACCGCTGTCAGACTGTACAATAAGTCACTTTAAGTCACTGTATAAGACTAAAAAACCTGCACTACTATTGACACTATTTCTGATTGCCACTTTTTGATTGTACATAACATATCCTGCATTTAACATGTTTACACATTGCACAATCTTGAGTGTTTCTATCCATGCCAAATGTGACATGTAAATTTCTCCTTTGTGAGATAAATAAAGCATATCTTATCTTATCTTATCGTATCGTATTTATAAAGTGCCTTTCACACACCAGAATCACAAAGCGCTGTACAATTGTTATATGAATTACAAATGTTTTTAGCGGTAAGGGGAAACCGGAGGACCTGGCAATCTCCACACAGAAAGGCCTGGAGGTGGAATCAAACCCACAAAAAGAAGGTCCATGCTGCCCATCAAGCCTTCCACCTCACACTGTTTAATGCTGCAGTAATAGAAAGATTTAAATGTAAATTCCAAAGTGGCCTTCTCAGGTATGCTCTGGGTCTGCTCATATATTACAATAGGTATTCAGGAAATTATTTCTACAATTTAGGACTAGAGGCAAACAGAGAACAATATCAGTGATGCATCAAAGCAGTGATAACCGGGAAGCCTGCAGGAGCCACTCCACCTAATGCTGTGCTGATTCAAGAGGAAGCCGAGCCTTTATCCACCATGTGTGAATTAGAAACCAAAGCATGTTAGCTATTATTTAGCTATAAGAAAGAGTGATTCAGATTCAGATTCACATTATTTTTCATGTGCAGTAAAACCACATATGAATACATGTGCAAAAGGACCCCAGTGTGCACCAAACAAATACATAAATAAAACAAGCTTAAAAGTACAGGAAACAATCGTCACAGTGAATCCAATCACAGTTTGAATAACAAGTGCAGTATCAATAAAGTGCTTTGTTCAAACTGATAACAGCTTGTGGGAAGAAGCTGTTAGCAAATCAAGATGTCCTAGATTTCAGTGATGTCTCTTCTATATGTGTGTATCTCTGATCTGTGTTTGTGAATTGAAGTCCTCTGAGAAGACTGCTGTTGTGTTTAGGGCTGTACAAAAATGTTCTAAATTGAATGCAATTAAAATTGTAGATGTGTATGCCATCCATGCACTTTCTTTCCCTTAATCCATTTCTGGGTCCGGGGGGTGGACATCAGAGCTGCACCCAGTACACATAGCAGCAGCCCCTCACTGATCCTCCAACGACAGCAGACATCAGTGGGAGTCGGTGAAGAAGATCTTGTGGTAGGCTCGAAACCCACAACCTTCAGGCCAATGCTCTACCAACTGAGCCACTGTCGTCCCCGGTTGAACTTGGATTTAAAATGGGGTTCTTCCGTAGCCTGTCCCTGAATGTGCTCTCCTGAACCCTGTGCTTGTCTATGGGTGGGCGCTGGTGGTTGTCTGTGATCTACAGTATAGGACTCCCTCCTCTGCCACAGCTGAGTCGAGCTCTTTGCCGATAACAGAAGTGGCCAAACACCTGACAGTGGTCATCACCTTTCTTTTCCAGTATTCTAAGCAAACACTAGGTATGGGTGAGTAGTAGCAACAACAACAACAATGATTTCTTTAGAAGATTGTCCACAGAATAAAATATGCATACCTTTTTATTTGACACTGTTGGGTTGTCAGTACACTAACACACACTTACTTTTGATTTGTCTAATGTAAAATAATGATCTCTCTTTCTCTCTCTCTCTCTTGAGGCCTACTGCTTAACATGATTACAGTGTAACATCATAAGGACAAACATCCAGCCTGTGCATCCTGTCCGGAGAGATGACTGTGCAGCTTTGGCTTCAAGGGCCTGCAGAAAGATCAATGCTTAAGAATAGCTGTGGGACCTGACTACAAATTGAGCAGACCTTAATCACCTCACATAGTTCACATCGGTTTGAGTTCTCACCATGAAAGGGTTTAACCACTTGACAAGATGCATTAAGTCAATAGCAGCTAATAAAAGGGTCACCAAGGTATGGCCTTGTACAAGACCCTATAAAGGATTTTGAATTAGGGCAACGGGCATGTTACTGTTCAGAGCATAAATTATTGTAATATTGGTGTGAATCTGAGGTCACCACGTCAAAGCAATATCAACAGCATGAAGGGGGTAATGCAATTTAATATGTGGCAGGCACTGACGCTATTAATTTACACAACAACGGTCAATTAAAAATCTGTTATATTTAATAACCCATCGTTAATTTGGACTGATTCAACGTAAAGCTTCCAGGACCACACTGTCCTTGCTTAAGTATCGCTGATAAATGAGAACGGCTTCTCCAATAAAGAGCAGCCAATACAGAGTGATATGTCGATTCTCATTGGAGAGAGCAGGAATGTGGCAATCATTAACAACAGAAGCAGTTCAACTCAGGAGCCTTATTTGTAATTCCACTGGCATACGACCAGACCATCTTCAATCACATTTATGCACACAAATAGTGTCTTGCTCAAGGACATTACAGTGGCTCCCTATGCCCTCACTGCAGATGTAATCAATACTCTCCTTTGCTCTTCTTCTTGCTGGAAACCTGCCACTGCTAATAGTGTTTTGTATTAAGATTATTGACAGTATTAAAACATTTATCACTGTTACTAATTCTCCTACTTCACACCACATAGGGAGAAATACTCATTAGGTATCAGTCTGTGCTGGCTGGGACATTGCACAAATGAACTACCACTGGATTAATTTATCACAAACATTTGAAAGCCTCTCAGCAACTGCGTAGTTAATAAAAGGTGTGAAGTCGAGAGCTCAATAATGAACGCTTTTTTGATGTATGAAACGCAGCACATGCAGCACCGTTCAGACTGTGACCTTGTGCAATGGTAAATGGGTTATAAATCCTGTGGTGGCCGCAGGGACCTAGTGTGTAGCTTGTAGACAACTGGGTCAATGCAAAGGCAAGCTATGAATCTAAAGTGCACCTGTTTCTGCTTCATCCCTTAAATAAAATGCATTGAAATAATCATAGTTGTTCGCTGAGATGAAAAAATTTTTACTGCTGCCGAGGTTAAATGTATTGCTCTTTGCACCATACAAGACACACCCCATTGACCTTCCGTATCCCTGTCACATATGACTTTATTGTAGATAAATAACCAAGTGGCCTTGGTCAATGTCCCACAAACAAGTGTGTTTTACAAATGCGTTGTATACTCAGATTAATGTTCTGGAATTGTCTCTCACTGATAGGGGGCTCAAGTAAAAGAATCTGTGCTTCAACTCTATTAGTTGACAGCCACAGATGGTAGAGATGTGATAATATTGGTTTTGAATGAAATGGCAGCCGATAAATTGTATCTGTGTGGTAAGATATCACTCACCCCTTGTCCCATATTGAATTGATGAAAGTATTAAATGCCATTTGATATTTATCTTAATGTGCTACATGAAATGAAATCTACTCAAGGTGTAAGTGAGTTGACATTAACCTTTCATTAATAATTGTTGTAGGTTACCTAAATGAGCATGTTAAAACACATTTCATGGAGTGACACAGTTAGACTATAATTCTCCAGTGCATGCGTGATTTTACATTTGGATTAAAGCTTTCCTTTCCAAAAAGCACCTGGGGTTGTGGATCTCTGTCGCCCTCTACGGGTAAAAATAAATAGTATAAAAATAAATGTTATAATTAAAGCATTTGGGAGCTTAATCTACAACACTAATTTCAATAGTCGACGCTATATTTGTTTGAAATCAAGAATATGCAAAGTACTAGACTCTTGTGTTATAAATGATTATTATTTAGTCCAAAACTGTGACGAATCGAAGACGCTGCAAAGTCATGTGATCATCATGAGGAAGTAAACAGCTCTGCAGAAGAAGCGGATATTTTTTCTCTAAAGCTTCATTAACAATATAATCATTATCAGCAGGGATGCATGTTAAACGTACATGTTTTCTCGGTGTGTGTATTTGTTACCGTGTGACTGTGTAATTACTTATCCTACGTTAGTTTGGGATTTCTCGTTTCTTTTACGCGTGCCTTTCATTGTCCAAACCCAGGTACAGTATTTTTTAATGCTTGCACTTTTTTCAATCACTGCGCGTTCATTAAAATGAGATTTTAGTTAGTAGTCTTATAACTACTCTAAAATGTCATGGCAGACAAGCTAGTATTGATTCCAACATCATGTATGGAGGCTGCCTGCTTTATGTCTGCAGTGTTTAAGGCTTTATCATATTCCTCTTCTCTCTGCGTTCACAGTCAGTCTCAGGTGAACTACTCAGTATTTACTACTTAGCTTTTTACTTTAGTCAACTGTGAACTGTTGCATTTGCTTCTGAAGTGAACGTAGTCCCCTTAACCAATGTGTGTGATACCAAGAACAGCAGCATATTTTATCCTTTGTATCTCCTCATACTCTGGTAAATTTGATCTACTGCTAATATTTGTTACTTGATTGTCTTGTTTTTTGTAACAGGTTGAAACATAATGGTGGACTTTTTAGCTGAAAACAACCTGTGTGGGCAGGCCATCCTCAGGATTGTGTCCAGGGGAAATGCCATCATTGCAGAACTTCTTCGACTTTCTGACTTCATCCCACCAGTTTTCCGGCTCAAAGACAAAAGTGACCAACAAAAATATGGAGACATCATTTGTGATTTTAGTTACTTCAAGGTAAATGTAAAAGCACACCTTATTTCCTCTGGTGATTTTAATATACGGTGTCATGATCTCCAGGGCCAAGAGTACTACGAGGGAAAGCTTGAAGCCAAACCCGAGCTCCAGGATCTGGATGAAGAGTTTAGAGAAAATAATATTGAAATTTTGTCAAGATTCTATCTGGCATTTGAAAGTGTCCATAAATACATTGTTGATCTGAATAGGTAAAACTGGTTTTTGGTATTTGGTCTTTTTGTCTAGTTGTTCAAACAAAAACCTTACTTTTTCACCCTTTGCAGGTATTTGGATGACCTACATGAAGGTGTTTATATTCAGCAGACCCTTGAGACTGTACTACTCAATGAGGACGGAAAACAACTCTTGGTGAGAATAATTGTCTTGAAATAATTAGTGCACAGTATTTTTATGTTAAATTACCAAATGGATTTGTTTAGTGTGAAGCACTTTACCTCTATGGAGTCATGTTGCTTGTAATTGACCAGAAGATTGAAGGAGAGGTCAGAGAGAGGATGCTCGTTTCTTACTATAGATACAGGTACTTTGTGGTGCACACACACTTCACAATAGTTTTTTCTATAACCACTTATAGTGTTTTAGGGCTGGGCAGTATGCAATAATGATTTCATTACCCCCTTTAGACATTATGATTTTAAATCGATTTTGACCAAAGTTACTGAACTGTTCAATTCAAATTTCCAAATACATTTTTAATTCGTAATGAAAGTTCTTTGTGGCCTCCCTATATTCTTGCAAAACTACAGAGGCCCCAATTAGCAGAGGCCAGAAGAAACACAATTTCTCAATTTTCACATGGTCGAATAATCAAATTAATTTTATATTTTGCCCAGCCATATCTTGTTGAAGCTACATGTTACAACATTACATGTAGTAGCTTTAAGCATTTAGCATGGAAAAATGTAATCCTTGTTTACGCTCTGTTAGAGAATACTTCATTTTTGTCTCTTCGGGAATAATACATCTGCACACTAACATACTTTCTGTGTTTGTCAGTGCTGCCCGTTCATCAGCGGACTCCAACTTGGATGATATCTGTAAATTGCTACGAAGCACAGGTTGGTCCAGTCAAACAGGAGCGAAGCGGCCGGCAAACTACCCAGAGAGCTACTTTCAGAGGGTTCCCATCAGCACCACGTTTATCAGCATGGTGATCGGAAGGCTGCGCTCTGATGACATCTATAATCAGGTACACAGTGGACTTACTCTTATGTTTTATATTTGATAAAAAATCTATATCCAACATTTTAAACGTTATTATTTCTTCTCTTTTGATTTAAGATCCTTGGTTTTTAGTGCTTCCTGTATTTATATAGCCTGGCCTTAGCCATCCGTAAAGTCCGGTCAATTTTTAAATCCCTAATTGTACGTCTGGGTCTGATCTTAGTGGCTGCAGTTACCTCGGTTGTATCCCATCCGACCAATCAGCGAGCGGGGGAGGCGTTGTAGGTAGGCATCGGTGACGTCAAGAGTTTGCACCGAATTTGCTGGTTGTAGTTTGGAAATGGTGGTGAATGCAATCGTAAAGTTATCCGTTCTGGTTCTGCTCCCAAATATTAAGAAATTGAAGCCAGAGCAAGAAGAAAGTTTAGCAGATTTCATTGCTGGCAAAGATGTTGTGGCTCTACTCCCCACGGGCTCCGTTAGTGGGAAAGGAGATGGCTAGGGTAAATGCTAAATGCCTCACTTGCATTACATATGTCACCACCCAATCAACTTAGTTGACCCAATCAATGTTCAACTAAGATCCTATCGTTTCAATCCGCAAAAGGAGTTAACCCCTCCCACCTGTTTACAAAGCTCAATTGAGCAAATCCTGACCTTTGTACAAAATGAAATAAAGTATGATGTTACGGTGAGACCAGGCTAGTATTCATACTCTCTTTGAACCGTGAATTGCAACTCTGAAATGATCTCATTGCAAGACAAATAAAGGATATAATTAAAAGAAATATGATACGTTATAACTCACTGTTTGATAATGATTTGGGTCTTCAGGTTTCTGCCTATCCACTCCCAGAACATCGCAGCACAGCTCTGGCCAACCAGGCAGCCATGCTTTATGTGTGCCTTTACTTCAGCCCCTCCATACTCCACACACAACAGGCCAAGATGAGGGAAATTGTGGACAAGTATTTTCCTGACAATTGGGTACGAATTATTGTTTTTTCAAATATTTGTATATATAAAAATATACATTTTATATATATATATATATATATATATATATATATATATATATATATATATATAAAATGTGTGTATATATAGATAATGGAAATATATATATCTTACCCATTATTTATTGCATGATTGCATAGTTTTATACACGGCTGTTTTGTTTCTCCAGGTGATCAGTATTTACATGGGAATCACAGTCAATCTGGTGGAAGCTTGGGAACCTTATAAAGCTGCTAAAACTGCCTTAAATTACACTCTGGACTCCGCCAACATTAAAGAACAGGTTTGTATGCTTTAATGCTATTTAATTAGTAGTCCCACCACATAGACTTAGATCTCTGTGCGCAGAATCCATAACAAGAACATAATGGATTATCTTTTAATTATGTGAATATAAAACCATCTTAATGCACATACAACATTGTGTGGCTGCGTGCTGGATCAAAAACAATACACGAATCTAAGTAGTCCATGATCAGACATGTTTGAAGAAGGGCCAGTAGTAATAACAATAACAATGTCGCCATGTCTTGATAAAGGCCACTCGATATGCAGCCAGCATCGACAGCCTGAGGCCCCAAGTGCAGCAGCTGCTAAAGGAAGGCTTCCTGCGGGAGGAGATCATCCTGGACAACATCCCCAAACTGCTCAACTGTTTACGGGACTGTAATGTGGCCATCCGCTGGCTCATGCTACACTCTGCTGAGTCAGGTAACATGTCCCACTTAAGAAGGATAACGAAAAGAATGTATTTGTTTTTCACCGTTTTTGTTTTCATTCAATCAAATTCAGCCTACGACCCAAACAACAAGCGACTTCGACAGATAAAAGATCAAGTACTGAATGACTCCAAGTACAATCCAAAGATCCTATTCCAACTGCTCCTGGATACAGCACAGTTTGAGTTCACACTGAAAGAGGCAAGTTTTTTTTTTTGTCTGTGCAATATTAATGCCGATGGTGATTGAAACTGTTATGCTACTGAATTTTTATCAACATTTTTGACATAATTTGTCATAATAATAACGTAACGCACTTCATAATTTTCCTCCAAACGGTTCTACAGAGAATACATGCTCAAACAATGAAAGATTAGTGGAGGCATTTGATATTAGCGTGTGTTTATACAGCATATGGCTAGCTAATTTATCATAATAAGCGGACACCAAATTAAAGTTCTCATTAGCCATTCAATCCTTCCTCATTGATTCAGCAGCTGTGTGGCTCCTCTTCCAGATGTTCAAGCAGATGCTCTCAGAGAAGCAGCTCAAATGGGAGAGCTACAAAAAGGAAGGATCGGAAAGAATGACGGAGCTGGCCGAAGTCTTCTCCGGGGTCAAGCCTCTGACGCGGGTGGAGAAAAACGGTTGGTGGGCATAATCACAATCATAATGAATATCCAAATCATATGGTTGTTTTCAATGATCCATTTTGATTATAAGTTTAAAACATAAGCTTGTCCCACGCCCTTCTTATTTCCTTTCACAGAGAACTTGCAAGCTTGGTTCAGAGAAATCTCCAAACAAATTGAATCTTTAAACTATGAGGACTCCACAGCAGCTGGAAGGAAAACAGTGCAACTCATACAGGCTCTTGTTGAGGTTAGCATCACCACAGACCTGTTTGAAAATGATCAAATTGCATGTTTATCGGGTGCTATCTTCTCTCGAGAGTACAAACTACAATCGGCAAGGACGAATAATGGAAAAAAACAGACCATAAAAGGCAAATGGCTAGATGTAATAAGAGTAGATGAGGTGATTGGTCATTAAACAAGGGAACCGTGGTGTTATGGCTTGTACAACTGGAGGATAAAGACAACCCAGGAACATTGCATTTGATTAGATTGAATTATATTACCCTGAACTCCGTTGCACAATTGACGGCTGCTCTAACGCATGCAAATACGCACTCAGGAATTGAATTGGAGCTCATCATCAAACCGCATTAGAACGTCCATTCATTTCTGTTTTCATAACCGTGTTTTCCTGTTGTTAAGGTCCAGGAGTTTCATCAGCTGGAGTCTAACCTGCAGGTTTGCCAATTTCTGGCCGACACCAGAAAATTCTTACATCAAATGATTCGCACCATCAACATAAAGGAAGAGGTCCTCATCACGATGCAGATTGTCGGCGATCTGTCATACGCTTGGCAGATAATCGACAGGTTGGTTCCAGTTTAGAAGTGGAATAATAAGCCTTAGATAAATTGGATGGATTTACTGTGGCATACGTGATCAAATAAATGTATTTTTATGTATTTTAGCTTCACAGCAATTATGCAAGAAAGCATCAGAGCTAACCCTTCTATGGTTACTAAACTGAGGGCAACCTTTCTTAAGGTATAGTTTTCATCGTAATCATACCATAATTCAGTTTGGTTTCTTGGTAAATTCCCACCCTATGTTTTCCCTGTTTCTAGCTTGCATCTGCCTTGGATCTTCCCTTATTACGCATCAACCAGGCCAACAGTGCTGACCTCCTCAGTGTCTCACAATTTTATTCTGGAGAGCTCGTGGCCTACGTCAGAAAGGTACTGGGTGCAAAACTTTGGGTTACAGTTGCATTTGATACATTATGGATGAAATGAGCTTTCTAGCTACATTCTGCATAATTGTTCACATATATGTTCATTAATGTGCATTTTTTCTTTAATAGAAAAGATTTGCGGCAACATTTTTAAATATGTATAAACATGTATATAAACGCTCAAATTAAGTCGTTTTTATCTTCCCACAAAATTCTTATAGTCAGGTTTGAGTTTGCGACGACAAACTGTTTCAGGTTAGATAAAGTGTGAAAGAAATGTTTTCTTATAAAGCTTCTTTAGTCCATTTTTTGTTTTCAAAGAATTCAAATGATTGAAGTCTTTGCGGCCACTCAATTGGTTTGATTGTGAGTAATTGTGTAGCCCTAATAATAATTAATGTAAAATGTTCTCAGATCCTGAAGATTTAAGGATATTGGTGGAGTCTGTTGTGCTCCTGCTCTGGTTGGAACTAAAACCTGCAGCCTCACCGGTGCTTTACAGAACCAGTTGGACACCCCTGCCTTAGGAGGTCCTTCCATGACGTTTTGCTTATTTTTGTTGCCAGGTTTTGCAGATTATCCCAGAGAGTATGTTCACCTCCCTGGCCAAAATCATCAAGCTCCAGATTCACGACATCATGGAGGTCCCCACACGCCTCGATAAGGACAAGCTGAAGGACTATTCACAGCTTGGCGCTCGCTATGAGGTCATTCTAAATATTTATGCAGCTTTCCTTTCTCCGTGGGAAGAAAAGGATATGAATATGAAATGGAGTCAGAAATCCTAAGTGCTGAACAAAAATCAAAGGCTAAATTGTGTGATGTTGGACTACGCAAATTATATTCAGATGATGCAAACAATTTGTGTTGACCTACTTATGATCTGTTCTCATTTTCTCTTCAAAGTAAAAGTAATGAAGATTGTTTATGTTTTGATGTTATAATCATTATGTGAAAGACAATTATAATGACTGACAGTGTGATGTGAAATGTGTTTTTCAGGTTGCTAAACTCACCCATGAGATCTCCATTTTTACTGAGGGCATATTGATGATGAAAACTACTTTAGTTGGGATCATAAAGGTATGTTTTTAATTCACTGGCATGAAACAGAAAACCGACAGCTGCTCTGGCTACAGTTAGAGGCTGCATTCACATTTATTCATCAGTATGAAGCCTCGTCCAAGCAGCACAGGACACATGAACAAAGCATCAGGTTCAGAAGTGTCCCATCGCCAAGTGCGCTGGGCACAGGGGGGATCAGGCACCATGTGTCAGGGGAGGCAGATACCCTCGGGTATCTGTGTCCAGGTGTGGAGAATGGGTGGGTAGTGTGGGAACAGGGGTAAGACGGACTCTTATCGGTTATCATCTCTGTCCGCTCTATGGTATAGAAGTGGCACACCAACATCAACCAAGTTAATCAATGTTGGAATTTATATGTATTTTCTGTGATTAAGTTAAGATAACATGCTAATTTCCTAAGCCATAATCTTATTACTTTTACTCTGTTTAGGTGGACCCAAAGCAACTTTTAGAGGATGGCATCAGAAAGGAGCTGGTAAAAAGAGTGGCTTATGCTCTGCACAAAGGATTGATTTTCAACCCGAAAGCAAAGGTTTCAACATAATTTCAATGGATTTGGCTCTCCTGCTCTGTTGACTTTTAAGACTCACTCATCATCCTCCTAATCTTGCAGCCCAGTGAGTTAATGCCCAAGTTAAAGGAGATGGCTGCTACTATGGATGGCTTCTACCGGTCGTTTGAATACATCCAGGACTATGTCAGCATATATGGGCTCAAAATTTGGCAAGAAGAGGTGTCCCGGATCATCAATTACAACGTGGAACAAGAATGCAACAGCTTCCTCAGGACCAAGGTCAGACTTTGAACACTAATGCATGCGTTTAGCTCTCAGGGGCGCACCTCAAAATAGTGCACTACCATCAGTCCATCTTTGTGAAATCAATAGGACACGCTCTGGTTGCTGCCCTGTTCATTTCGCAGACGCTGATAGATTCTTCCTCTCTTACTTTCAGATCCAGGACTGGCAGAGTGTATATCAGTCGAGCCACATCCCCATCCCAACTTTCCCCTGCGTGGATGAATCAGCCACTTTTATTGGCCGCCTCTGCAGAGAGATCCTCAGAATAACTGATCCCAAGTACGACAGATACAATAACATAACATGGGCGGCACGGTGGCTGAGTGGATAGCACTCTCGCCTCTCAGCAAGAAGGTCCTGGGTTCGAATCCCGGTTGGACCAGGGCCTTTCTGAGTGGAGTTTGCATGTTCTCCCCGCGTCTGCGTAGGCTTCCACTAAAAATATGTACAATAGGTCTGGCATGTGCCTCCTGTACTGGCACCCCCACTCCCAAAAATAACAATTGTAAACCGCTTTGAGACTCCGATGTGCAGTGAAAAGGTGGTGTATATATAAATAAAGATTACTTACATAAGATGACGTGTAATTGCTCAATATTTTATTAATCATTTCTCAATTTCAAATGTTTTTCAAGGGTAACGTGCTACATGGAACAGATGAACACCTGGTATGACCTGAAGAGCCACCAGGAAGTGACCAATAACAGACTGTTCTCAGAGATCCAAAATACACTAGGCACCTTCGGACTCAACGGGCTAGACCGCCTGCTCTGCTTCATGATTGTAAAAGAGTTGCAGGTGATTTTATGTGTATTATTGCATGTATTAATGTATCTACATATATATTCAGGCTGACTAATTCATTTTACTTGTTATTTGTTTTTTTCACCATCGACAGAACTTCCTGTTGTTGCTTCAGAAAACAATCCTCAAGGACAAAACTGTGGTAGAAGTATTCAGAGTGATGCAGGGGACTGTAAACCCAGTTAAGGGCATTGTTGGTGTGTACCTGTCTGTTAAAGCTGTATGTTGTTATTTTCCATTATAAATATGTTTTGTTATTATTATCTCTGAAAGGTAATGCCAGCAAAGTTTATGCCAATGCAGTTGCCAAAACTCAGAAAATCTGGGGTCCATATCAGGAAGCCATTATGAAGGTATACAGTGTTGTTTAACCTGGACATTTGCAGTTTGTGTGATCTAATTAAAGAAGTAATTTTTCTTGTGAAATCTAGTATTTAAATTCATGAATTATTCTTAATTTGTGGGAAAGTAAGCTTTAGTCCGAACAACTACATGAATAGTTGAGTCCAGTTGACAAATACATTTGAAATAATATTTAACTTAAACTAAATCTAAATAATTTGCTAAATATGTCCTCTGACTTTCCACTAAGTGCGATGTTGACCACTTCACAGTGAATGACACTATTGCAGACAGTGAAATGCATTTTACTTTATTACTTGTTTACAGGTCGGTCAGATGCAGATTCTTAGACAGCAAATTGCAAATGAGTTAAACTACTCATGCAAATTTGACTCTAAACACCTGGCCGCTGCCTTGGAAAACCTCAACAAGTTAGTTTATAATGGTTCTACCACATTGTATTTAAAATCTGTTATTATTTTTTACCACAATTGGTTTTCTATTTGATTTTTCAGGTCGCTACTAGCTGACATTGAAGCTCATTACCAGGACCCATCTCTGCCCTATCCCAAAGACAACACTTTGCTTTATGAGATTACAGCCTATCTAGAGGCTGCTGGAATTCACAACCCGCTCAATAAAGTATTGTCGTTATTACTGACAAAATGTACTCTCATGTAGTTGGTCCTAAAATATTTTTGCAATCTGGTTACAGATCTACATCACCACAAAGCGCCTGTCTTACTTTCCAATTATAAACTTCTTATTCGTTATCAGTCAGCTGCCAAAGCTTCAGTACAACAAAAACCAAGGTGTGTTTTGTTTGTTTCTTTTTTTATTACATTAAATTGCCAATACAGAATCACAAGTAAAGTTCTGTTTCTGCTCAGGGATGACATGCAAAAAAGTTGCAGATTCTGTCGACTGGGTCCCCCTGGTTCTTGGGCTGCTCACTCTTCTCAAACAGTTTCACTCAAGATACACGCAGCAGTTCTTGGCTCTCATTGGACAATTTATACGTTCCATTATGGAGCAGTGCACAAGGTAAAGCTTTCGCTGAGTGAAATGGGTTCCCTTTTTTTTCAGAGCAAGCAACTAGATAGGTGGATTATATTACAGTTGATTTCTGTGTATGTTTTGATCACGTTATCTCCAAATTTTAGAAATGCTTTTTTGTGTATTAATAGTCAGAAGATTCCTGACATGCCTTCGGATGTGGTGGGAGCTCTGATGTTCTTGGAGGACTATGTGAAGTATACAAAACTCTCTCGCAAGGTAATTTTATTCTATTTTTTATTTTATTCTGTTTTAATTGTATTTGATCTATATGTGATTATTTTTCTCCCCAGGTGGCTGAAGCACATGTACCCAGTTTCATCTTTGACGAGTTTAGAACTATCCTGTGAATATGTCATTAAATACATCTCTATTAACTGATCATTAATAATGTTCCTGCTAACAAATGTATCATCTCCATTGCACTTAAATCGTACATAGAACATTCCTTTGTATTCATGTGCCAAAATGACCTATTGTAGCCTCATTATCAAATAATAAAATAGTTTTCTGTGTTTTATCCATGAATGTATTGGTTTTATTCTAGAAAAAGTTTTTACTCTTATTTTGAAATACAATCTTAACCGGAAATGACGCAACATCTCGTGCGACGCGGGCTAATCAGTTTGTTGATGTTAGCATAGATCGAAAGTGTGTCGAACTTGTGTATAAGGGCAGACATTACTCTATAGTACTTCAGGTACTAATAATGTCTTTAAGTGCTGTTCGCGGGACACTGTCCAGTCTGGGACAGTGTCAAAACGACATAAAGACAGCGATGGACATAGTGACAGATGTGGCGATGGACCTCACGGAAACTCCGGGTAAAAGAAACGTTTAAATTTATCTGATCATAGAGATTACATTTTATTCTGTGAATGTTATCAACTAGCTTACCGTCATGCTGGTTATTGCATGTTTCAGTTAACTATAGTTGGTATATAAACCAGTTAAAGGTATATTATAAATACGAAAGAGACAGTGATTATCATTGTTGCACATTTGAACATATTGTGTACAAAGTTTTATAAATCTACCAATAAATTTCCAACATGTACAAATGTCTTAATGTTTTATTAGATTTTTGTTTTGTTTTTTGCGTTCATACTGTGCCGACTTTTCGTAAACACATTTCCTCACTGTGTGGGATGAATAATATTGTTCTGTTCTTGCAGATGCGGTGAATAGCAACAGCTTCAAGGAGCTGGAGAACATGATACTCGAGTGTGCCAAACTGGATAGAGACATTAACCACTTTGTAGATATTGTGCAGCAGGTCACTTCAAATGTGAGAGCAATGTGGCACATTCTCATCATCACATATGATTAAACCAGTTTGTGAAATAATTCTGCTTGAACATTCATAGGTGACATCACAGCAGCCAGAGACCATGTTCTCCCTGTCTGAGAGTGTGAAAAGACAGTTTGAGATGAACCTGTCCCAACTGTCAGACTCTGATCTGCAAAAACATCCACAAGTCATTGCCTTCAAAGACAGCCTCAGCAACGGTCACGACCAAGGTAGTTTTTGAACTAAAGAAAAGTCTTCTATATGGAGATTGTTAACCTCAAACTGCTCCTCACTGAGTCCTCTTCAAATTGCATGCTTTAAATATGCAGTGTCCGTACCACTAAAAACATTTTTTTTTTAAAACCTTAAATCTAGGGACTTTCCTAGCCTGGCCGTAGCCATCCATACACTCTGTACGATCATCATTCCCTGCATGTAACTTAGTATGAAATGTAATTTGTACTCTGGTTTCCTTAGATCCCATGACTTTTTTTCTGTACCTGATATGGGCACTTGTTACTAAATAATGGTTTTGGTAGTATCACTTGTTCTGTCCCAAACATTTAGAATTTGTCTAGTACAAGTGAGATTTATGCTTCTGTAATAATAATGAGAACATATTCCACATATTTGTTACATAATTCTGTATCACTGTCTCTTGTGTGTCCAGCTGGACAAGCGTCAGGACGAAATCTAGAAGAGCTTGATGAAGACATAGCTGTAACACAAAGTCAAACCAACTTCACCTGCCCTCTCACAACGGTATGAGGTTTCTACATATTTAATCTGTTTTATTGATCCTAACACTGTGAAAATGTAACTTTTAGGTTGAGATGGTCAACCCTGTTAAGAATAAGAAATGTAACCACCACTACGACGAAAAGGCCATTGTCACTCTCATCCAAAACAAACATTCTCAAAGAAAAAAATGCAGGTCAGACTAGTTACTGGTTTGTTGGGCTGCCCTTCACTTCAGTCCCTTTTATTGATAATGTTTCAGGAGTTGTTTTAGTGAAAATCTATTTGTTCACTTGATGTGTAGATGTCCTGTAGTGGGATGTTCGAACTCGGATGTGAAAGAGTCAGACCTGGTTCCAGACCAAGTGCTCAGAAGAAGGATCCAGATGCAAAAGAGAAACAGCACCAAGCCTTAGTGCTCGAGGCTTTCCATCCACAATATGATATTGGTAATAAGTTATTTGTTCAAATGTTAAATGTTGGATTAAAACAAAAAGGGTTTCCTGTAGTGTGTTGTTACAACCACAAGAGGGAGGTCTTTCCACAGTGGCAACAGAACCTGTTTAACTGAACATGTTTTGTTAAATATTTTATTGTTAATTAAATAAAGCTCAACCCTCAATAATGTCTGAATTCGCTTTATGTCATGCAACAGGACATTACACCAAATGAGGCTGAGAAATTATGGCTAAACAACTCATTCTGTCACAGGAATGCAAGTGAGTGATTTAACTGCCCCTTCCCCTTCCTCTGAGAGGCCTTTGTTCGAAAAGGAAACAAACAAGAGCCGTGTTGAGATGAAACTAGGTGAAGCTAATCTTTTAATAACTTGGTATTAAGACATTCAACTGTGTTATTGCTCCTTTCACTCACTCAGTTCTCACTGATCATATCGTCTCTGGCAACAAATGATGTATTCCAGCTGTGTTGGCTTGATTGTTTCTTCAATCTTGTTAAGTTACCTTCCTAGGCTGCTACAGTCTTGTCAAGTAATTTGAAATAAAAGCAAGCTAATTGAAAACATCTGATTAATTGGCATGATAATTTTGAAAGTCCAATCACATAACGAGGTCACCAAGCTAGATTAAATCTAAATAAATACATCAAAATCAGACGCCATTTGCTTGTGCCCAGTGTTTGATCTAAGATTCCTAGTCATCTCGCTACCTCATAAAATACGCTGTAAGTGGTGCAATTGCTTAAGACATGTTAATGATAGTATGTGGCTTGTTGATGGTTGATTTTGGTTTGTTCTGACTCTGGTCCAGCTGGCTATAGTGTTGACATGGCCTGAGAGATGAGGCTGGCACCAACACCAGGTCCAGGTGTCATGCTTAGAAATGATTTGGCACTAACACTTTATGGTTTCTCTGAAGGGAGCATTACAAGTGCAAGGGCTGCATTGTGAATGTGAAGAATGTCAAGTGCAGAGTAATTCTGCCGGAAAACAACATAACTGGGGCTTAAGGGTTTCTTCCAGTGCATCAAAGGCAGTGAGTGTGCATCATGTATCTGACTGAATTCTAGTCCGCTGACTTTAATGAAATTCAGTTTTTCTATAGCCTGAACAACAGCGCTCGTCTCAGAGGACTTTACAGAGTTGTTGATTCCTCAACAACAGATCAGAAAATCAAACTGTTCGAACACAGGAAATGCAATGAAAACAAACACACAGGAGCCATTGGTCCATGTGTGTGTCTGTGTGTGTCATATTGCTGTCATGTGTTTTGTTGAAGGGTAGGGTATTGACTCTTTTTTTAGTGTATTGCATTGTTGTATTTCTGAATAAATGGGAGGGGATTGGATTCAAATAGCCAATTCATTCAATCCTTTTTCCAAAAAATGCACATAACTTTGTTTGTTTTTATTATATTTTTTGGTGAATGATTTGTATATTCTGTGCACGTTTGAAATAAATAAATAAATCAAATAAGTCATTAGCTGCCCCACTTGCCTTACTGCAATGCACTTTGATGGCTTTAAGAATAGTATTAAATATCAGTTTGAGCATAAAAGGTTCTGAATCCAGATAGAAGTGAGTGGAGTATGTGCATGAGGTAAATGTGCACTGTCTCTTTAAACGCCTGCGCCTCCCGCAGTCTTTCTGCTTGAGTTTCGTTGCAACAAATAGTTTGGTTCACACTTGACTGTACTTCAGACAGAGCAGCACTCACACCACATCCTCCCGGCTGTGGACACCGGAACACACCAGGGCTGTTTGTGTACCGTGGGGCCGGCCAGGACGTCTCACAGGTCAGTACTTCAGTTGTGAATTTGGATCTAAATAAAACGTAAGATGAAGGTGTCTGTAGCGAAGCCAACAGGTGTGTCCTGTGGCGTCTGTTTGGAATGTGAAATAGTTGACTTACTTCAGAAGGCCATAGACTCAAACTATGTGCTTTGTTTGATTTCAGCTCGGTTACAGCAGAGGTTGGACATATGCTGGATATGGATTATTCGTGCCCTCGCTGCCGCTTTGGATTTAGTTGAGACTCAGTGTTGTCGTGCTGAAGTGTGCAGAGAACAGGTGGATCCTGTTTCTGTTTGGCTGCGGTCAGTAATCTACTTAAACCTTTATGGGGAACCAGGTGGAGAAACTCACTCATCTCAATTACGCAGAGGTGCCCACCTCAGACCCCAATGGCTTTGATCCAGACGATGATGGAACACGAATTGGCGTCTCTTATATTTTCTCTAATGATGACGACGACGAACAAGAGGATCGTTTTGATAACTTATCCACGGAGAGCGCCCGGGTGAACCATGAGGAGAAGCCTTTCAACCCCCGAGACGAGCTGGAGTGCGCGGTCTTCTACAGAGACGACTGTTTGTACGAGAGGAAGAGCGGGGAAGACACGTACCCCGCGGAGACGCTGCTGAACAAGTGCAGAACCGGAGACCTGCTGGAGTTCGTGGCCACTGGGCAGTACCCGCACTGGGCCGTTTATGTCGGGGACTTCCAGGTGGTTCACTTACACCGGGCTGAGATCAAGAACAGCTTTCTGACGGACGTGAGTCAGGGCAAACAGGGGCGGATAGTAAACGCGCTTTACCGATACCGTGCGTTGCCGCCTGAAGTCATCGTGCGTAACGCGCTGGACCACGTCGGCACAAGGGACAGAGAACTGTACTGGAGGAACGCTGAGTGCTTTGCAGCCTGGTGCCGCTTTGCAAAACGCGAGTTCAAGATTGGGGGTGAGATTAGGATAGGCAAGCAGCCATACAAGCTAAAGTTACTGTTCTCTGATAAGAAACACCACGTGCTGGAGTTTCAGAGCCTGGAGGATGTGGTGATGGAGAAGAGGAGGAATGATCAGATAGGCAGAGACGCTGTGATGCAGGAGCTCGCCAATCACCTGAACGCAACAAACGAAATTAAAGACGGGGATTTTGAAGCCTAAGGAGAGTATTTGGTCCTAAGCCACAGCTCTTAAGACTCTTGCGCCAGCCTCTAATAATGACCAATGAAAAGCCTTTTATGTTGTAAACAGCGCACGCACTGACTGTTTGCCTCCAAAACAGCCCCGTGGGTCAGTGTAGAAAGTTCAAGCCAAACAAAGCAGTTACAAGTGCTGTTAGTGCATTGTATTACGTTTATGAGGAGCGTGTTTCCATCTCGGTGAGTAATTGTATTCTGGAATATTCCAGGGAAATCAATAACATCCCCGTGGAGATAACGTGTTGAGGGGGCATTTCTGTAAAAGTTTCTTATCCAGAATCTTTATTTCATTCTACACCTCCCCTGTTTCAGAACTCTGCCATGATGCTTGTTGCCATAAGGATACTACTGTAGAATTCACTATAACATGACTTTAAATTCAATACCATGCAATCTGTACTGTTCATTATTAAGTATTAAGGCCCTGTTAACTGTGATTCCCTATTTTACATGTTGTCCTGCCTCTCCAACAGAGTCCAGCCTTCAAAGTATTTTGATATATTTTAACCTGATAAATCTTTGCACAAGGAGCCATCCTGATGTACAGTGTGTGTGATAGCTCCTAATGACTCAGGTGATAATCTTCAAAGTGACAGTGTGAACTTGTTTTTGCTTTGGATCCAATCAGCTTTACTCATTCCACTTTTGTGTGGACACAATGTGTCTGTGCACTATTATTGATTCACCCAAATCAGCAGTTTATATTTGGATAATGCAGTTTGTATGAAGAAAATTTAAATAAATCTATATTTGAAGATACATTGTTTTTGTCCTCTGGAATTATTTTTGTAGCATTAAACAGTGTTGGGCAAGTTACTTTAGAAATGTAATACATTATGGTATTACTTGTTACTCTTATTTTAAAGTAATATATTACAATACATTATTACTGTCTCTGAATTGTGAAGCATAACATTATTTTTAAGTGTATCACAAAATATATATGATAGACATATATATATGTCTATATATTTCTCTATAAATCTCAAAATAATGGGAGTATGTCTATCTTGAAAATGTACTTTTCTTTGAAGAAGTGCTATCTTCTCCTAAAGGAAAAAAAAATCTGTGCCAAAATGCAGCTTCCATTGGCACAGATTTGATCTCCCCTGTTGATTTTGTGGTGGTATATTATAAAACAAAACATTGACTTTTAGGGTTACAATGCAACGTTTAGTTCCTGACCTTTGTTCAGAGGATAATATTACCCAGGTTTTTTTGGAATGCCTTATAATTCCGTAGTACAGCAGAAAGCAATACATTACAGTAATTACAATACTTCTGTAACGCGTCACTCCCAACACTGGCATTGGTAAAGGTGCACTTTATTTATCCCCGTAGAGCAAATTCTTCCTCTGCATTTGACCCATCCTGATGCCACTAAGGCTTACATCAGGAGCAGTGGTCGCCGTAGAGCAGCGCCAGGGAACCCATCTTTTTACCTATAGTGTGTATGTTTTTAGTGGTAGCACCTACAGGCACAGGGAGAATATGCAAACCTAACTCAGAAAGGCCCTGTTCCCACCAGGACTCTTGCTGAGAAGCGAGAGCGCTTTCCACTCAGCCACCGTGCCACCCCAGAACCCCTTGGAAAACTACTGAATCTACTCATCATGTGTACGTTTATGTAAATTACCATGTCTTTAAAATTTTAAGGGTTTTTCCAAATTTTAGGAAAGAACAGCCCCCTCCACATTTGGAAAAAACTCTTATTTGACGAGCACGTATCCTCAGAATGATTGACAATTAGAAGGACCAATAGTCTTGATAAAAAGCCTCCTAAATACCTTGAAGTGAAAGATTTTGGACTCTCAATGACAGGGAAAAAAACAAACACATCTTTGCTTTCTATCTAAATGATGAACTACAAGTTCAGATGTTTATGAAAAGAACATTGATTTGATTTGTTATGAAATACATCATGGTCACTTGAATTTAGTGAATAGTGACTGTTTGTACACATTGCCATGTTATGACCAAAGTAAAAACTAAAGGAAACAAAGAATAGGACACTCAACATGTAGAAGAAAGTGTGGTGGTCACATGAGACCAACCCATGAAGCCAAATGATAAGTCCGGTTCAACACTGCTCATCTGCTCTATCTTAAATGTGATACAGGGGTGTTTTTTTACAGGGTCCGTAAAATGATGAGTGGTTTTGTGAGGACAAATGGGCAAAACTTTGAGTATTTAGAAGTTCAAAGCTTGTGAGTCACATCCCAAAAGATTGCAGAGTAAGGTAGTTCCACAAATTATGAATTCAGTTTCAGAAAAAGGAAAACCCAAACAAAATCATGTATCTTTCTGTTTTCACTTCACAGATGCCTGTTACTTTGCTGTGTTTTCTCAGTAGGAAAAATCAAAACAAATATTTGTTTGTGGTTTTAACATGATGAAATATGCAAGAATTCTAGCTGCATTAAACTGTGGCGACCCACAGTAATAACACAGTATTCGATTTGCAGGCAGGACTACGCTCACACCTGCCTTGTGGATAGAACCATCTGAACTGAGACCAAACTGAAAGGGTGTCACATTAGCATTGCATAGCATCTGTGAATGAAAAAAAGAAATCATGCATATTTATGATTACCATACCATACTTTAAAAAGCCTGCTAAATGCAGACAGCATTTGGGAAGCACATAGAGGTTACCCCAGCGCGGTAGGAATGTTAAACAGGGAGGCTGCGGGGCACACATTTTAAAGTTTAAGTCACAGTTCTAAAACATTGACACAATACAAAGCTATTCCAAGAACATGCAGCCTGTGTACACCAGAAGAAATATATGTTAGCCTCCAAATATTCATCGAAAGCTTTATTCCATAAGTTAAATTCAATATCTTTCCACAAAAATATGAGATCATAATAAATATTCAGTCCTTTTAAATCAGTTCAGTGTACTGCATTTCTATAATGACTGTGACCCCAAAATCATGTTAGAACGCCATGTGCTCTGAACATAGACTGTAATGATGTTCAAGAACATTACAAGGCCCTCATCTGCTGATGGACACTCTCCAAGGTAACGTTTCTCATGGCTCACCAAATTGAGTGAATCTTACATGCATTTACCTAGGGGCCTTTTCTGCGCCGTGATAAAGCATAATAACATGTTCCTAATCTAAAATTCAACACGCACATCAACTAAAATGGTAGTGGATCTGATTAAAGCTCTGTTTGAAACACTGGCGTGTAGAAGTCAAGGTTTTTGGACGGTGCGGCTATCACATTTACTTTGGAGAGACCCGGCCATTCTCCTCGAGGCAAAACTGGTGCTCTTTGGGAACAAGTTGAGGAAAACGCCATTTTAGGCATTTTTGTGAAAATACTAAAGCTTTGAGTATTTTGAAGCCTAAAGAAAAATGGGTGTGCTTGAGATTCTTATCAGAGTGGGACAAACATCAGCCTGAAGAGGTGACTGAAACTTCAAAGAAATACATTATCTGCAAAGTAAACCGGCGACTTCTACAACTATATCTAAAAATGGAAACTAGAACTATTGCTAATACAACCATATACAAATATATTAGCTGCAGAAAGCTCTATCTCCACAAACTCTAAGATTCTGCTTGACTTCTACCTAACTTTATCGCCGTACCATTGAAAGTCTGCTTGTTAGTTCTGTGACTGTGGTTTGGCAACTTCACAGCTATGAATCCAGACTCTGAAATAATCAATGACTCTTCTGCTCACCCTGGAAAAGCCATGTTCCAGCTTCTTCCCTCTGGCAGAAGGTATCGTTTGCTGAGCTGCAGGACAACTTTATAGGCTAGCATCTTCTTTCTACAAGCTGTTATCAGTTTGAACAAAGCACTTAAATGACCTTGCACTTGTTTATTATTGGAACCTTTTTGGTGATTGGTTTCAGTAACAATTGTTTCTTGTTCTTTTTATATAATGAACTTGTCTGGTGAACACTGGGGTACTTTTGCACACGTAAACCAATGTGGTTTTACTGCAAATAAACTGAATCTGAAGTTAAGTATGCTATCAACTACTTTTCACAGTGCAGTAACAGGAACTCGGCCTTTGTATTGTGTAGTTCATGTAAAACATTCACATTGAGCGTCATGAACACCCACAGAATGACATGACCAACTAATACACTTTAAAACATGCACTGTGCCCACCCCCCTCCTGTTTTGTTATCTGCTCTTGTAGCTCTTCAGTTGAACTGGTGACATATGAATGTGTCTCTGCAATAACAACATAATGCAGTTGAGTGAGATGATATCACCCGTTTATTAATTTAAATGTTTCAATCACCACAAGAGCATGATGTGTAGTACATTTCCCTTTGAACATATTCATTTGTTTTCATCAACACAATACAGCATCAAGAGACTGAAGATTGTGTTTTCCCTTTTGTTCATTCACCTGAATCATGTTAACAATTATGTGTGAGGCAGCTCATCGGCTGTAATTTGAAATCTCTGGAAACTTTTAAATTACTTGGCCTAACTATTTAATACTTATAAGCAGTCTACAGCACAGAAAAAAATAAAAAAATCTGTTCCTGGTTAATAATTGATTAAGAACTTTACTCCTGAGCTAGAGGTACATACTGTGTAGTGTTTAAGTGCACAACTTTTCTAAACTGCTCAGAGGTGTATTTAAATGCCACTTTTGCAGCTTGAAAGACAAGATTTACTTTTGACTTTGTCTTTCAGATGGTCTGGGAACGCCTCAGGATTCTCCCGGATGAGCTGGAGGAGGAGGAGTGCGTGGCAAAGGAAGACTGGGCCTCTAGACTACTGCCCCCACGACCCAAAAACAGATAGTGGTTAAAAATGGATGGATGGACCTGGTACACTTCAAAAGGTAAAAAATACATCTTCTATATGTATAATTGTTTCTAAAGAGGTAAACTGCCTGAGGTTTATGTTACATTACTGTTTGTAATGTATGGTCATGCATCCATCTTTTGTTTTACTGTGACAACTCTTCCTTCAGAGAGAG